TTCTAATTGCTTTAATATGACAAATTGACCAATTACTAGCAGGTTATTTATAAGCATGGTGGAATTAGTTGCTTGGTTCAATCAAGCAACCAAAAAGTAACTGATTTGTAATGACTCAATTTATCAAAGTGTTCAAAATGGTTGGTGTGCATAGACATAACTTACATTAACATTAGACAAATATGTGCAATGGAACGGGAAGGGAATATTGGACTATTTACAAACATCTGAACAAAAAGGATTCTAATCTTAGCTCTATCCATAATCAAGTGGACAAACCATAGCTTTGACTGGCAAAGATGTTCTAGAAAACCTTCTGTTTTGTTTTGCTGATAAAGAAACTGAAGCCCAGAAAGCATGTGGGATTTGCCTACATCTCCCACGAAGAAAATGACAGAGCTTAGCCTTGAACCATCTGTATTGTTCTGGTGCCAGGTCTGATGCCTGCTGCACTGTGACCATTGAGTAAGTCACTTAGCCTCTTGAATCTGCAATTACTTTGTCTACAAGATGACAGGATTGGTGAGTGATATCATTTAGCTTTATTATGTAAGAAACCACCTAAAACTTAGCAGCAAAGAACAATCACCATTTTACATGTAACTCATGAGGCTATAGTTTATCTTGGCTTTTTTTCTAGTCAGGGCTGACTCAGTTGACCTCTGCTTGACTTTTATGCTTCTGTGATCAGTTGGTGGATCTTGGATGATCTAATTTATCCCCACTGATAGTTGGAGTGGATGCTGGGACCATTGGCTGGGGACTGACTACTCATCAGCTGAGGACCTCCATTATCCTCAAGGCATTTCATCCTCCTGTGGGCTTGCTCAGTCTTGTATACTAGGTGATTTCAGGATCCCAAGCACAGAAAGAGGGCAAACCCTAGTGAATGTACCCTCTGGAAAGATAGCTTTACTAAGCTATCTTTACCATTCTCTGTGTATACATAGTGTGGTAGGCAGTTTCTAAAAATTGCTCCTAAAGTTACCTAATTTCTGATATTTATGATCTAGTGTAATCTCCTTTTGTGTGAGTACTGGACCTAGTGACGTGCTTCTAACGAGTAGAATATGGCACAAGTATGACATATTACTAATGAAATTAGGTTATAAAAGACTTTGACACTTTCTCTGACTCTTTTTTACATGCTTGCTCTGGTAAAGCAACTGCCATATGTGAACTGCCCTATGGCAAGGAACTGAGGGCCCCAGCCAATAACCAGTGAAGGACTGAGACTCTCAGCACAACTGTTCTCAAAGGAATGGAATGCTGCCAACATCCACTCAGTGAGCAAGCTGGGAGGCAGAGCCTCCTCAGCTCAGAGGAGATGGCAGCCCTGTTCAATGACCTCCAAGCAACCTTGTGAGCAGCCTTGAGTAGAGGATCTAACTATGTCCTACCTGGGTTCCTGACCTACAGAAACTGTGCATGTTTTAATTTGGGAGTGATTTGTTACATGCCAATAGGTAACTAATACACACAGCTAACCTCAGAGTCAGTGTGAGAAGGGACAATATTTGCCAACAATTTAACACATATGGGCTTTTCCCAGCCATTGGGAGTCTGAGATGGAATACTTTTTACTTCAACAATTATTTATTATCTATGCTAGGTCTGCTAGGTCCTGGGAACAACACTGTGAACAAGATAAAGGCCATGCACCTGCTCTCAAGGAGCTGGTAGTTTGAGGCAGGGGAATGAGGGGATGGAGAAAGATATTAGTTCAATAATTCCTTCTTTAATTGTTTGTTTAAAGTTGAGTGCTATGAAGAGGGACGATATGTAATTTAACCTGGGTTGTTCATACAAAGCTTCTCTGAGGAAGTGGCACAGGGGCCAAAGAGATAGGGAGAACAGAAAAAAAGGGGAAAAGCAGAAAATTGCAGGCAGAAGGAGTGGCATGCTTAAAAGGGAACTGGAGTGGTGCTAAGAAGTTATGGGAAAATTTCATATTTATAATCAAATTGCAGTCATTATGTGATAATGGTATTGTGGGTTATGGTTTTTAAAAGTTCCGTTAGAGATAAATGCTAAAATATTTATGGATGAAGTTATAGGATGCCTGGGTTTTGGTTCAAAATAATTCAGTGGCAGGGTGGGGGTTAGGAGTGGGTAGAGTTATAGATGAAATAAGATTTTCCAAATGAGTTAAAAATTATTGAAACCAAGTGATGGGTACTTGGGGGTTCATTATACTTAGTTTCTGGACTTTCTATGTTTCATTTCCCATAATAAAACTCAAAAAGCTTGTATCCTGAAAAAAAATCTTGAAGGGTGTGTGTGTGTGTGTGTGTGTGTGTGTGTTTGAGAGGTCACAGTACACTTACCAACTCCTGCTCTACTGCAGACAGTAAAGGTTAATAACATCTTTAGGCAATGGGGAAGAATGAGTTTTGTGTTATAGAAAACATAAAGATTTCGCAGCTACACATCATATATCTTCCATAGAGTATTTGGGTAATTTACCTTGCTCCCGAGCCAAGGTTCTATATTACATTATTCTTCATGGTCATTTTCCACTAGTTGAGATAGTACATTTCACATAATAGACACACTTCACCCTACAGTATAGAAGGATTCTGTTCAAGTATTTGTTGCTGAAATACTGAAAGGATTCTTTTGTAAGGGCTTTTGACATGGGCAGTAGTAAAGTGAGGTTTCGGGTTGGGGAAGAGGAAAATGGAGTAGGACAGATGGGAATCTCCTTTTGTTTGAAAATTCTTGGGTGGCTTACTGCAGCAATAATGGATTATGCATTTCTTTCACTAAGTTTTCTTTTCCTTTTAATCAAGTTATTTTGGGGTGGGTCAAACTGAAATTAACAGTAGGGATGGGTAGATTTTGAGTCAGAGATGTGGATGGGTAGATTTTGAGTCAGAGATGTACTTTGTTAGGATATTTTTCAGGAGTGGGGGGGTGCTTGGGGTTGAAGTTGAAGATGCTCATGTTTATGTCTGTTTTGATGTTTGTTTATTGGAGAAATCGTATTTTCAGCTGAATTTCAGTTCAGCTCTTTCTTGAAAATACCTTTGTCATCAAATTGAGCCCCCCCATCCCTAATAAGACTTCACTAGAGTCAGATATAAGCAAATTACATTTCCTATCTCAAGCCAAGTTTAAATAAAAAATTATGAAAGATAGCTTATGGCAGCAAGGATTTTCAGCGCTTAAAGATAAATTTGCTTATTTCAAACTGTAAAGAGTCGCCTTGTCAGTGCAAAGCAGGAAAGGAGTAAAGTAATGAAGAGAGTGGCCCTGGACATAAACATGTTCCCACACAGCATTCATGCTGAAATGCTTTGTTGTTTTTCCCCGAACCTTGGCAATTACAGGCATTTTCCTCTGCTCTGAAAAACATTTGGCAAGTAACAAGAGAAGGTCCTCTCCTTCTCTGTGTTCAAGACTGGGTTCTGGCCTTATTGCAGGAAAACGCTAATTCCCAAACCACGCTCCCTGGGAGCAAATGGTTTGTTTTCTCTTCACTGAATCCAGCTCTGGGTGGGTTCTCAGCAGCTGAGCCTGGCATGGAAAATCTATTTGGAGCAACTTGTCCCCAGGAGGAAAGAAGGGAAGCTGATTGTGTGGGGAAACCACAGTTGCCATCCAGCCATTTGCACCTGCTGGCCAGTGTGGGCATTAACATGCAAAGGCATAGAGTCCAATGCAAATAAGATCTTGTTTGTGTGCCCACACCCACATGAACTGCACACACCCGACATCCACCATACAGGCATGACATGCCAATCACTCACAGCATACTATCACACACACACATCACACACTGTAACCATCATACCTACCCACACACAAACACATAACCAACCATACACATACCATACGCATCACATACACTCTACTACACAACAACCACGCACACACTATATTGATCACACACATCCATGCCACAAACATGTATGTACACACCTCACATACATTGTGTGAATCACATACACGTGTGTACTATGCAGACAATTAACGATACATCAAACTACTTATCACCCCACAGCACATTCTCCACCTAACAATCACATACATACCAAACTACATACATATTCCACATACCAGTACCTCCCCACCATACATGCATCTCTCTCTCCTCACTCACACACACACCCCAACTTGGTTACTTTCCCACTCAGCAAAGCAGAGGCTGCAGCCAGAACTGCGACTGGCGTGGCGGTGGGCATGTGAATGGTCTTGCTGGGGCAGGGGGAGGTTAGCCCTGGGGTTTCTGGGGAGGCGGGCGGGGCCGGACAGCCCGCAGTCTCGCTGGGGGCTGACAGCAGCTCTGCTGGAGTGTGTGTGTGCACGTGCCTCTGACGGGATTCTGTGTCCAGACACTCCGGGAGGTGTGTGCAAGGAAAATGTGAGACGCGTGTGGGGAGAGGCTGTGCGCGCGCGCGTGTGTGTGTGTGTGTGTGTGTGTACAAATCGCCAGCAGAGGCGCAGGAACCAGCCGCCTGAGTGGATCCGATGGGCGCGCCCGCGGTTTGCACAGTCCTCCGAGGAGTGTGGCCGCGCGTGTCCGTCCTCCAGAGCCCCCGCCCGCAGGGAAGTGTGTGTGGGAAGTGTGCGCGGAAGCCAGCGTGCGTGTGAACACCGAGGCGCCGAGGCGTGTTCACCACGGCCCTCCGTCGCTGGGGGTCAGTCTCGGGGCAGGAGCGAGCGTGTGGCGGGGTCTCCCGGGCCGGGGGCGGGGGGGGGCAGGCTCCCGCCGCGCTCCTCCCCGGGCGCGTGTGGACAGGCGAGGGCAGAGGAGCCACCCGGGCGCCCCCCACCGCCGGCCAGCGCGCGCCTGCCTGTGCCTGTGCGCGTGCGTGTGCGCGAGGGCGCGCCGGGGCGGGCGGCGGGCGGCGGGCGGCGCCAGGCCCGGCCCCCGGTCGCAGCGCTCGGGGCGGCTCCTCGGCGAGCCCGGGACCGCCGCGCTCCCGCCGCCGCCGCGCGCTGGCCTGACTCCCGCCCGCGCCGCGCCCTCCCGCGCCCGCAGCCGACTCGGCTCCTGCCCGCCCAGACGCCGCTTCCTCCGGGCTCGGGTTCGGCTCCGCGGAGCGAGAGGAGATGAGGGCGGCGGCGCCCGCGCCCGAGCGGGGCTGGAAGAGCGAGAAAGTGGACGAGGCGCAGGCCCTGGCGCGGAGTTGCGCCGCCCGCAGACCCGACTTCCAGCCGTGCGACGGGCTCTCCATCTGTGCCACGCACAGCCACGGCAAGTGCTTCAAGCTGCACTGGTGCTGTCACCTGGGATGGTGTCACTGTAAGTCAGCTCCCCGCCTTCCGCCGCGGTCCCGGGGCGCCGCGGGGTGGGGGTGCAGGGGGCCGGGCCGCCCTGGGGTCCCGGCCCCCCCAGCTCCCCGAAGTGCTTTCGCCCTGGACGATTAGGGTTGGCGCTGCCTGGCCACGAGATGAGCTCCCCTGGGAACGCGAGCTTGCGCCCTTGCACTCAAAGGGTATCTTCCCGTCCCAGGAAAACTGGGATCTGTGTTTCTTTTTCTTCTTTAACGCCCAGGCAGGGTGTTGAGGCCAGGCAGGGAACCGGCAGACTTGATGGCAACATGAGGGAAAGCCTTGTTTTCAGGGCTGGGGGTTCAAGATGCTCCTCTTTTCGTTCTTCACTTTTGTCTTTCCCAGCTGCTGTCTAAAAGAAAGAGCCCATGGAAATCGAATTGTGGTGCATTGATTGTATCGAAATTGAGAAAGTGCTAAAGTGGGAGGGACTGCTTCCCCAAAAGTTAATATTAGCAGTTTGGAAGGGTGAACTCCTTAAATACCCAATTGCAGCAGGGAGAGCCAAGATAGGAGACTTACCGTTATAAAATGAAATGATTGCAAGTAAGCTTCAATGATCTTAAGCCAGTTTATAAAAGCCAGAAGCAAATGGTTTAGGCCTTTCCTCTTTGTTTATCCTGCCTGTGATTTTTAAATGGATTAAATTTAAGTAGCCATTTAATCAGAATTCCACAATTTGATTAGTTCATAGTATTTGGCCTGCTATAGCTGATGAATCATTTCTTTTTAGAAATACAGTCTAAACTTAGTTCCCACATAGCCTTGTAACAGAAGGTTTTTGGAATGCTTACAAATTTTTGAAGTGATCTTAAAATTATTTTTTCCTTCTTGGTTAGAGAAAAATGGCTCCCAACAAGGGATGCAGTACCTAACAAATCCTTATTTACATGAATCGAACATAATAAAATATTTTAGTTGAATTTATGACACAGAGGATAGAGAATTCTTACATTTTCTTTGCAAATCCAAGGCACTTTGGAGAGAATTGGTTTTTGTGTCCTGGGCTGGTGGGTCAGTTTCTTCCTATAACTCCGTCATCCTTTTGCTCTCATATCTCTTTCCAGTTATAAAACATCACTTCAGCGGGCAACAGGATACAAAGTTGGAAGTAGCTACTGTAGGAAACCTGTGATACTGAAGCAAACAAGTAGGATGTGAGTGTCCATTTCTTGGGGAAATGTAGCTCCAAAGCATAGCATATGAGGACTGTAAAAGGCAATACAGCTCAGTGTCTGTCTTATATCAGCAATTTCCCCTCTATTACACCATTACTGATGGGAACCTTGTAGTCTTTTCAGGTAGCTTCTTTCTTCCTTATACAGCTTTGCCTCTTAAAATACTCTTCCTTGTATGGCTGCTTCCTAACTTTTTTCCAGTGGTGCTACTTCTGTCATGTGAAATCATAGAATAATCTAATTCTTTTTTAGATCATGACTATTTCAACTCTTCAGATAGGCATATATTTCTCACAGACAGAGATTGTCTGTTCTCCAGACACAGCCACTGCCACAATATCTGGCCTGAAATAAGTTTGTTGAATGACTGACTGAAGGTAGTTATCACTTTCCTCACAAGGCATCATTTTGTCCTATTTATAAATCTCCATTCTTTCCTGCCTTTCCTTTTATGGAAGAATATTCAGGCTCCTAACCATATTGGTTGATCTATTCTGAACATGTGCCAGCATGATTATGATCCTTTGAAAATTGTGACCCCCAGAAGGGTACACAATATCCCAGTTATGGTCTGATCAGTCCAGAGCTGAGCAGGACTGCTCTCTCCCATGTTTGAGATACCACTACCGCTGCAGCTAGCATCACATTAGCTTTTCTGATATCTGCATCATATTGAGCTTGCTGCTGTCAGATTGAACTTAGCTTGCTGTCGTTTAAAGCCATTGAGCCTTCTTTTTTGCTTGTTTTACATATGTGGCAGTTAAGTCACAGTGCCTGCCCATCTCAGTTTACAATGTCTATTTTTGGACACAGGTATTGATTGATTCCTTAGTTATTTTTTCCTCTTAAATTCTATTTTACTGGAGTTAGCCCTTTTTTTTGTCTTGTCATTGTGTTTTTAAATTCTACCTCTTTCATAATATAAACTATGAGCCCCCGATGACATGCAGTTTCCTGTCAACCACCTATTGGATATCAGCAGTAGTATTCTACAGCTTCTTCCAAATTACAGATGATTATTGAATAGGAGAAGGCCGCAGATGGGAGTCCTGAAGCTTTCCTTTTAGGTTGATAGCAATTCATTCATTAATGATCACTTGTTGTTATGGTTGTTCAATCTGTTACCTAATCGCCTAATTGTACCCATTATTATCATATACTTTAGCCCTATGGTTATAATGAGGATCTTGTCAAATACCTTGTTGAAATACTACTAACATACTTTTATTACTGCTTTGATGTGTGATCTGCATGTAAATACACTCTCCTAAAAGAGATTAGTCTGGTATAAATTCAGGTTGATTCCACAAATGCTTACCATTATTTTTTCTAAGTGAATAGAAGCTAGTTTTTTCAATAAATAATCTGATTTTAGGAAAGGACTGGCTTGACTGTACTGGACTGTTACTGACAACTTTTTCTTTTCTGTTTTTTAATCAGAAGTACGTTTATTTGATCTATTCCAGTCTTTGGCAACCCTCCAGGTCTCCATGCTTCCTCCATTGGCAGTGATTCAGTGATCACATTCATGAGGAACTTCAGTTTATTTGGAGCGGCGAGTGCTCTGTACCTCACCTCTACTAGGCATCAATGCTATCTTTTTAGCCAAATATCACTTTTCTTGAAAAGAAGATTTAACATATTTGGGAAGTTCTGCTTGCTTTTTGGCATTCATGAACATTGCCGCATCAGTTCAAAGCAAAATTCCTTAATTATTTTGAATATTTTTTGAGCACCATCTCTTTATGAGACATTATTATAGAAAGTAGTAATACAAATATTAATACAGTTGGGTCATGCCCTTTACTTAAAGAGTATGAGGACATGATTTTATTCTGTTTCTTTTTTAAATTATTATTCCTTTAAAATTATTAATGATATGGCTGAGGAAACTGTCAGCTTGTTAACCAAATAAAAAAATGCTAAAATAAGGACTGTCTTGGTGCTTGAGAGAAAGAATTTAGAATAAAGAAGTTCAGTTTTCTATGATTGACATTAGCCCTTATGAAATAAAAAAGAATGAAAGTATATACATTTTCATAAAAGACATAAAATGGGTATATTCATAGATGCAGGTCTTGATATAATTATTAAGGGAAATACTGTATTTGCTTAGTGACAGCTTTTGAGGACCATGTCTGGGAGGAAAACTATAGCATGTTCTGTTGGACTGAATGAATAATGGCCCTGAGTATGAAAGCTTATTTTTTTCCCAGTAAGGAGTAATAGTGAGGGCCTCCCTGGTGGCTCAAAGGGTTAAGTCTGAGCATTAACAAGTTATCACCAGCCACTGCAGCATGAATTTGATCCCCTGCCAGGTAGCTAACACACATGGCACAGCAGACCTCTCCTGTCTCACCTGCTGCTCTCCTCAGCATTGTATTTCAGTTTGTATTTCTGTATATCTACCTGTTCTGCTCCCTATTCTGTCTCTGGTGAATCCTCTCATCCCCCCACACCTTTGGCCTACACCCCAGCTCTTGTCTGCATAAATAAAATAAAACTAAAAAAAAAAGAGTTACAGTCAAATTCTTGAGTGAAGGATTCCAAGAGGATTTTGAGAGAAAAAAAAGACATTGGGAAAAGGGGTTGGAAAGAATAAATTATATGCAGATATTATAAAATAGTTCTTGTGACTGGAGTATTTAGAAGGAATAGGAAATTTAGACTGTTGAGATGTTGGGAAGGGATGAACAGCAAAGGTGAGAAGCCAGGAGTTTTAGTCCATAGGAACTTCGGGCATTATAGTGATGGCATGGGCAATCCGGAATGAAACCTACAAGGGAGGTTATTTTGTATCAGTTTAAAAAATGGATTGAAATTCATGCAATAAAATGAAAGTCATGTAATGGAAATTGGAACAGATTGGATTTGCAGGGAAAGGAAGAAGAAGGTTATAAAGGATGACTTTCAGACTTCTGGAATTGTACCTTATGCAACATGAATGGATGGTGGTGCCATACATGCACTAATAGCAACACAATATTAGAGAACTAGGCTTGGTTGATCATGAATAATGAATTCAGTTTTGAATAATGAGTCCAGGAATACTGTGAAGCTAATGTTGTATTTATTGAGTTTAAGCTGCCTTGTCATCACATGGTGATGTCAAGTGGACATTTGGACATGGGGATCTAGAAATCAGAGGAGAGAGCCACACTAGATACTGTGGAAGTCATTTTGCAGTTGTAGACTTAATGAAGCATGAGATCACCAAGGTAGAGACCGAGAAATGAAACCCTTAGACTTTCCTCTTGGCACACTAACATTTAGAGTCTGGATGCAGGAAAATGAACTGGCAGCACAGTCTGAGAAGAGATGGCCAGAAAAGGAAAATCTGGAAAGTTGGTGTTGTAGAAGCCAAGGGAGTATTTTAGGAACGTATGCAAAGATGAAATCAGTTTTCAGCAAGTTAATTCTTAGATATTGTTGAAACATACAGGTAGTGATTTTCTTTATTATTGAAGAAGTGGATGAAAGGTTAGTTTTACAATGATAACTTTAGAAATGTGCTTAATTGTAGTATTAGTCAAAACTATTTGAGACAGTGAATTCTTCAAAGTAGAAAGAAAAAAACAAAATGCCAGTAGTGAGAATTAGAACCAGAGATAGCAGTTAGTATTAATTGAGTGATTAGTTTTTGCCAGAGTAAGCTTATTATGCTCTTAAATAGTCAATTATGTCATTATGTATATTTTGCAGTTGAGGAAAAAGGCTTTGAAAAGTTAAGTAACTTTCCTATAGGCACATAGCTAGTACAGAATGGAGCCTGAATTGGATCTATGGCTGAGAC